TAATGGGTCTATATGAGAAAATATCGGGTTCCCCATATATAGTAAATTAAACGAAGTTCCTTAACAGCAACCCAGACTCGCTGGCTGTTAGTGGGTGCAGCATTCGTTCATTCACTCCCAGGCCCCTTAAAGGATCCAAAGAAATGGACCCCCCGTCCTAAATATGAACCACTTAGACTACATTGCGGAAACTAAGGGATTATTAGGGGGTTCCGTGGCTTGGATCCTTCAGGGGGTCTGGGCTACTCAAAACCTGTAAGTTCTTTCAGTCTAACCTGCCGAAGCTGCCTTCCCGTTCGGCAGATGGAAGAATTGGAGGTGCCACCTGATGGTTCGGGTTTAGGGTTTTAGTTTTGTTTTTGCAGGGCTCCTTTTCTATCCAGATGGCAGAAATGGCCTCAGGCCGAGCGGTGGTAAGCATTCCCATACGTTGCCTGTACTTGTAGGAACAGTGCTGCTTACGAGCGTCCCAACCTTGTCACGCAGGTGCCCCCACACAGGGTTTTAGGGCTTAGGGTTTTAGGGCTTAGGGAAACTTCCCAGCAAGCCAGTGAGGGAACAGTAAGGGAGACACCCAAGATGCGTTATTTTCTGGTCTAAAGTTCCTAGACCCTACGCCCTGACCTACCAAGTTGGAAGTCACCATGTTACAGCTTCGATGGTGGGCCATAGTAGCCATGCACAATCCCCAATGCTACAGTAGTTCCCTAGCTCTTTTCCATTCATTCCTGACTAACCCCAAGCCCCAAACCCCGCCCAATAGCTCCGATAGCATTACCTTCCCCAATCTTGCAGTAATCTCCATTTTCTTGTCCATTCCTCCCGAAAACTTGCCGGAGCCTCCATTTTTTCTCTTCCATGCCCAAAACACCACGGCGGTTTTGACTGCAAGCTACATGATCTGAGGCTCTGGCACGTTCCAGCAAGGCCACAACCTCAGGCAAGGTGTGACTTTCTGGGGAAATGACCTTGCAAACTCTAGGGTTTCTAGCTGGTAGGGAATAATGGACTGGAAAAGAACCGGAAACTATGCGAGTCTGGGGGGTGACAATTATGTAAGGACTGCTACAGGACTAATTCCGAATTATTACTCTACACCCTATCAACCACCAGTAGTTTAAGGTTTTTAGGAGTAGGTCAGCTCTGCCAGACCCGCGGAAAACACTCGCATAGCTGCTGGAAGGATTGCTACGAGCAAGACTCAAGAGTCCAGCACCACCAGAGCAGCAATCAGAGTAACAAGAGTTATACAAATATCTAGACTAGCTTGTGCAGAACTCGGCCCACATTGCACAACCAAAGCCAACCAAGCCAGAAACTGACTTCCATTTTCTTTGCCATTATCCCCATATAACCCCTGTATAATCCCTTCATCTAAAATATAGTACTAGTCTACCTGCCAAGTGAGACTGGGAGCGTGTCCTAGAAGGAGGCTCCCGATGTGATCCCTCATGAGTATACCATACCCTAACCCCACCATGACAGGTGCAAGCCGAGGTCTCATGGGGGGTCAGAGACCTCATGCCAGGATCAGTAGTTGGGTCCCTCAAGCATTGCTCCGGTCTTTCTTATTGGGAGTTGATTGAAGCGTTCTTACGCGTGTTCTTCCCATTGGCCGTCATTCACCATTGAGCTGAGTGGACTGCTGCTTGACGAGGGAGTGCTACCGGACAGTCAGAGGCTCCCTCCAGTGGACGGGCCTTGACAGCAGCAACAAGCACTGGGGATTAAGGGTTTTGGGCTTTAGGGATTTAGGGTTTAGGGGTTTAGGGTTTAGGGCACAAGGCGGCTTGGGGAGAACTTACTGGTTCTCAGCCGGGAATAAGTGAAGAGAACCCCTATGTAATCCCTAGTCGTAGTTTCCATTTCTTTTTCCACTAGCCCCTATAAAATCCCAATATAACATGTGTCCATATTCCCTAAGGACCACTAGGAGAAGCATGAGACTTGGGATGTCGTGGCGCAAGTTGCCATCAGATCCGAGAGTTTCAAGATCAAGGTCTGGTACGCTGGGGTTGGCGGCCCCCTAGTAAGGGGCCCTTAACCCCGGGATCGTTTTATATATTATATACTCCATGCCCTTCAGGGTCCCTAGAATCCCCCCTAAAAGGCCTAAGAGGCCATAGTAGGGGGCCTGCACTTTTAGCCTTGGAGAGTGGGCGAAAAATGAGGTCGTCTCATCAGACCCCCCAACTATGCCTGGGAACACCCCAAAATCCCACAAATCAAATACATCTTGGCATCAAAGCCCTGCAAAACACTCAGTAGTAGTATCCATGTTCTTCTAGAATTATCCCTATACAACCCCTCTGTAGACCCCTATAGTTCCATTTTCTTTTCCATTATCCCTCTGAAGGTCCCCCAGCAAACCCAAAGAGCCTGGATGGTGCCAGCCGCAAGCTCTACAAAGGTGCGGTAGAGCCTCAACACTGGCCCAAGGTGCTGAAACCCTGGCGGTTGGGCTATAGAGGGATAATGGAAAACAAAACGGAAAACTACCATTTTAAAGGGATAATGGAAAAGATTTAAAATGGAAAAGAACATAGAAAACTACTATATTCTAGGGATATTCTTGGGTTTATATTGGGTTTCATACCGCAACATTAGAACCTAAGAACGGTGAAGAGGACATCGACATGTCTGCTCACCATTTTCGAATCAGTGTGCTCCAGCTTCTAGATGTCTTAGCAACTCCCCACTCACCAATTTCGGGATCCCCCCAAGAATCCAAGCAAAAGCCGCTTGTGAGCTCTGGTCTAAATTCCTGAATTCCTAGTATCCCTCTTAATAACCCCCATAGTAGTCCCCCATATAATCCCCCATATAACCCCCTTCAAGGAGTTTAGACTATAGCTCTTATGGTTTGAGAAATCCCTGCTGTGCAAATTGGCCGTGGCACAGAGCTCGTAGCAAGCCGAAGGGCAATGGCTCCTGTACAGGGCCATGGATTTATCCCGTAGTCTGCCTCTTGGAATTCCAAAATGCAAGCTTTTAGGGGATCCTAGCATGGATCTATATGAACTATGTTCTAAACTCATGCTATTCCCCTTGATATCCCTACAGTAGTCCCATATATGCTCCCCTATAAGGAGTCTAGATTACAGCTCATATGAAGTTTATAAGGGCCCCTTTCAAGGAGTGAAGGGCTCGCGTTGCCTGCATAGATTTCAGGTGGACATCCAAGTCCGCACCTCAGGCAAAGTGCCAGAACAAAGTGCTCCTGCACGCCAGTCTCTGAACTCCTTTGCATTGCACAAAAAGCTCTACGGTACTTAGTTGATGAATCCTTTCTTGCACGCTAGTTGGGTTCTTGGGTCTCACTTGTCTTTCCGATTGTCAATTAGTAAGGAATAACGGAGTGGAACAGGTGGAAACTGCTATCTAACTGGGGATCACTTTTATGGGGATCCATTCCTCCATTCCCTACTAATGATCAACAAGTTGTGTGGTTGCTCAAGCGCTTTGGCTGAGCGTTCTGCGCAGTCAGCAACTGCCGAACTGGCGCCCCGTGAGAGGGAGTTTCCACAAGTACTGGACGCCCAATATACGCCCTAAACCCTAAACCCGAAACCCTGTATGCCTGCTTATAAGGACTGCTAGAATTCCAGAATGGCCCCCCAATTGTTGGAAACCCCGACGTCAAGTCTGTGCCATTTCTCTCAGATTGCCCTGTCTAGAGTGGCACGAAAAGCTTGGCTTCTGCCCGAATTCCTGTTCTTCCTGCATGAGGCAGGAAGGTCACACTGTACATGGGCTGCAAGCAATAATAGACAAGAACATGGATACTACTATACTATCTTGGGATTATATTGGGATAATGGAAAATGAAATGGAAACGCTAAACCCTATAGTGTATTGGGTACTTTGGCTAGGGATCCTAAACTACGATAAGGAAATCTTGGAGGACCTGCCAAGGCAGGGTTCAGCCTGCGCTGTTGCCAATGTCTGGTGAGCTCATCCCAGCGGATCATCGAACAATCCTCTGCAAGAGTGTAGGGTTTAAGGGTTTAGTGGTTTAGGGGCTTAGGACTTAGGGTTTAGGGTTTCGGATTTTAGGATTTAGGGGTTAGGGTGCAAGGATCCGGCTTCAATTTTAGAAAACGTGAGATGAGCTACAATCTAAACTCCTCGCATCCCCCTTAATAACCCCTGCCCTATAATGCTCCCCATACAACCGTCCATATACCCCCTTTCAGGAGTTTAGGCTAAAGCTCATATCAACTATCCCTGCTCATGTCAGGAAGAACACTTGAAGGGCCAAGGCTAAGGGGAAGCCATACAAAATCAGTTCCTAAGGTTGACGCCATGGGTTTGGGGTCTTGGGTTTAGGGGCTCTGAATCCTGGGATCCTTAATCCTTATATACCTAGGAGATACCCTTAAGGATCTCTAGACCCTAAACCCCAAAAGGTCTAAGATCCCATGTTAGGAGCCCAGACTTCTAACCTTAGACCCTCAACCCGCAAACCCTAAACCCCTAAACCTTAGACAAATTTTCCTCGGCCAAAGAGCAAGGCAGAGCTGAACAGGCGTCGGGTACTGTTGGTGATGCCAGGGGGCGGCGGCTGGTGTAGGGTTTAGGGTTCAAGGTCTAGGGTTAATGGTTTGGGGTTAAGGGCTTGGGGTTAAGGGTTTGGGGTTTGGGGTCAAGGATTTGGGGTTAAGGGTTGAGGGTTTAGGCGGTGGCGGCTGCGGTGGTGATGAGAGGAACAAGAGGAACGACAAACTCATGGCGCAATGCCTGCCACTGCCCTACAAACGGGGACTTACCAATATTTGGGGTATTTTTAAGGATTATACTATATAGGGGTCCCCTTGTTTCGGGAAACTACGAAAGAACAACCCCCACAGTAGCCCCTTATACAATCCCCTATACAACCCCCTTTGAGGAGTATTGCTGCAGTATCCAAATCTGTGCCCTAAACCCTAAACCCTAAAACCTAAACCCTAAAACCTAAACCCTAAACCCTAAACCTAAACCCTAAACCTAAACCCTAAACCCTAAACCAAGCATCTGTACAAGCGCTGGGCTCGATGATCTTCCAGCTCTCCAAGCCATAGACGCAGCACGCAACTGATTGGTACGGAGAGCACAGCTCCTGAACAAAGGCAAGGTGCAAGCACTATTTGGGGGGGGGGTTCTCAAAAGTAGGGATACCTTTCTGGGGGATTACAATATTCTGGAGTCTATGTCCCAACAGTAGGGATACCTTTCTGGGGGTCCCCATATTCTGGAGTCTATATTGTGGTCCCCCAACGCCACTGCTAGTGCTGGTGATGAGAACCGGCACCCGTGATGTGCAAAATATTGACCGGGATGATTGCAAGCATGGTCAAGCCAGCTTTCTTGCCAAGCCCATTGCAGTGGATTGCACGCCGCCAACCCGGCCTGCAATTCCCCAAATGCTGCTCCAAAACCTGAGTAAGTCGCACAGCATTCAATAGTCGTCCCTATTTTCCTTCATTTTGAAGGATGACAAAACAAAGGGGAAATTGCAAAATGTACAACATTTACAATAACATAATCACACCTATATCTATCTATATATATATATACACAGCATATGTCTCGTCACTTACATATGTTGAGACCTATAGAAACACACAGCTCTCTTGTCTCTGAGGCTTGAGCATGAGAGCCACCACAATTGTCAGCGGGTGTAGCTCAAGACCTAGGTAGGATGAAGGGGTTCAGGGGTTACCAACACGCAATATTTCATTTGAGCCATATCTAGACTCCTAGTATCCCCCTTAGTATCCCTATAGTAGTCCCCTAAATAGCCCCCTGTACAACCCTAGATATGCAGGGTTACCGAAAGTTAATGGGGACATACCACCATGCATACAAATGTTCAGTATATATATATATATGCTCACCCCCCCCCCACATGATCTACCTTTTGGTGGGTTGGTGAGTCTCGTACAGGTCCTCATGACTATAAACTCCTTTTAAAATCCAGCTACGAATTGAGGAGAAATGTTGGAATCCTA